TTGGTGTGATATTATAATTTTTTTCACTAATTAAACCATAAAACTGGCCCAGACATGCGGAAATAATAACGAAACGACCTCAAAACAATAACGAAACGAATACAATATCGCAATACGAAGCATTTACAAAACGTTTTTGAAAATTCGTTTTTTTAATAATTGCTCCAGAATGGTTCGTTATCGTTTTGTAATTGAAAAAATTAACGAATTATTAACGAATTACGAATTAACGAAACGAAACCGCCCAGCCCTAGTACTCATGATGCACAGAGCATTTGTATATATATATTGTTCTCCCAAGCCTGCTATACGCCTGTGAAACATGGACTGTCTACAGACGTCACATGCAACTTCTGGAATAATTCCATCAGTGCTGCCTCCGGAAAAGCCTGTAAATTTCTTGGGAAGACAGGCGGACAAACATCAGCGTGCTGGAAGAAGCAAAGACCACCAGCATTGAAGCGATGATCCTCCACCATCAACTCCACATTGTCCAAATGCCCAATCACCATCTCCCCAAAGACCACCAGCATTGAAGCGATGGTCCTCCACCATCAACTCCGCTGGACCGGTCATGTTGTCCGGATGCCTGACCACCGTCTCCCAAAGCAGTTGCTCTACTCCGAACTCAAGAACGGAAAACTGAATGTTGGAGGACAGGAAAGGAGATTGAAAGATGGGCTCAAAGCCAACCTTAAGAACTCTGGCATAGACACTGAGAGAGAACTGGGAAGCCCTGTCCCTTGAGCGCTCCAGCTGGAGGTCAGCTGTGACCAGCAGTGCTGTAGTATTTGAAGTGGCACAAATGGAGGGCGTCATTTCATATATTTAAAAATGTTGACCTTAACCATCTTGTCTACAAGCTAAGCAAAACCAGCACCCTAAGCTGCTACTCATAGGGATTCGTGGTTTCCAGATATAGAATCAAAGAGTTTTAAGAGACCTCATGGGCCATCCAGTCCAACCCCCTGCCAAGAAGCAGGAATATTGCATTCAAATCACCCCTGACAGATGGCCATCCAGCCTCTGTTTAAAAGCTTCCAAAGAAGGAGCCTCCACCACACTCGGGCAGAGAGTTCCACTGCTGAACAGCTCTCACAGTCAGGAAGTTCTTCCTCATGTTCAGATGGAATCTCCTTTCTTGGAGTTTGAAGCCATTGTTCCGCATCCTAGTCTCCAGGGCAACAGAAAACAAGCTTGCTCCCTCCTCCCTGTGGCTTCCTCTCACATATTTATACATGGCTATATCTCCTCTCAGCCTTCTCTTCTTCAGGCTAAACATGCCCAGCTCCTTAAGCCGCTCCTCATAGGGCTTGTTCTCCAGACCCTTGATCATTTTAGTCGCCCTCCTCTGGACACATTCCAGCTTGTCAATATCTCTCTTCAATTGTGGTGCCCAGAATTGGACACAATATTCCAGGTGTGGTCTAACCAAAGCGGAATAGAGCAAGGGGAGCATGACTTCCCTAGATCTAGGTACTATGCTCCTATTGATGCATGCCAAAATCCCATTGGCTTTTTTTGCCGCCACATCACATTCCTGGCTCATGTTTAACTTGTTGTCCACGAGGACTCCAAGATCTTTTTCACACGTACTGCTCTCGAGCCAGGCATTGTCCCCCATTCTGTATCTTTGCATTTTGCTTTTTCTGCCAAAGTGGAGTATCTTGCATTTGTCACTGTTGAACTTCATTTTGTTAGTTTTGGCCCATCTCTCTAATCTGTCAAGATCGTTTTGAATCCTGCTCCTGTCCTTTTCATATGAACTTGGTACGTTTAGTACATTTAAAATGTTAATATAAATACTGAAGCAATCTTCATTTTGTTAGTTTTGGCCCATCTCTCTAATCTGTCAAGATCATTTTGAATCCTGCTCCTGTCCTTTGGAGTATTGGCTCTCCCTCCCAATTTGGTGTCGTCTCCAAACTTGATGATCCTGCCTTCTAGCCCTTCATCTAAGTCATTAATAAAGATCCTGAGCAGGACCGGGCCCAGGACGGAACCCTGCGGCACTCCACTCGTCACTTCTTTCCAGGATGAAGAGGAAGCATTGGTGAGCACCCTCTGGGTTTGTCCATTTAACCAATTCCAGATCCACCTCACCGTAGTTTTGCCTAGCCCACATTGGACTAGTTTCCTTGCCAGAAGGTTATGGGGGACCTTGGGCCATGCCCATCAATACAATACAAGCTATAACACAAACACAATAAAACAAGCAAAATACATAAAATGCAAAATTGAAATAATATACAACACAACAATATAAAATCAAGCATTAAAAACACAGGAAATTTCACTAGGCAGGGCCAGATGCATGGATAAAATTATAGAAAATATTAAAAACACTGGGAGATAGGGCAGAGTAACTTATAAGGAGGAGGCTCCAGGAATGAGGAAAGATTTCATTGCACAACCCATAAAGTAAAGTGCGTCTAAGGACATTTTGTGCAAAGTGTGGTCAGGGAGAATCTTTCATTCAATCACTGAAGGCACATTGGAACAACCAGGTTTTCAAATTCCTCCTGAAGATTGCCAATGTGGGGGCTTGTCTAATGTCTCTGGGAAGTGAGTTCCAGAGCCGGGGATCCACCGCAGAGAAGGCCCTCTCTCTCGTCCCCGCAAGTCGCACTTGCGATGTGGGGGGGGGGGGGGGGGCAAAAGAAGGGCTCTCCTTCCTTCTTTATCTTTTATTTGGATTTTCTCTCCCCTAAATATCTATCTATATAATAAACTCTCCAGAAGATCGAAGGGATCGTGTTGAAAGGGTCTTTGAGTGAAATTTGCAAATGCTAAGCAAGGGGCTTTGAATGAAATTAACAGCAAAAGAGAAACATTCCCTTTCTCTGTAGAAAAAGAGCCACACGGAAGAAAATGTTTTTAAGAAACAAAAAAAAAAAAAAAAAAAAAAAAAAAAAAAAAAAAAAAAAAAAAAAAAAAAAAAAAAAAAAAAACAAAAAAAAAAAAAAAAAAAAAAAAAAAAAAAAAAAAAAAAAAAAAAAAAAAAAAAAAAAAAAAAAACAAAACAAAAAAAAAAAAAAAAAAACAAAAGGAAAAAAAAAAGAGCAACACGGAAGAAAATGTTTTTAAGAAACAAGATGTGACATGTAGAGGTCGGAAGTTGTATTGTGGTTAAGTTCAAAGGTTGTGGTTAAGCGCAGAGTCTGCAGGTACAAGAAGGTACTTTCCATCAAAAGGTCAAGGGAGGGGGCTGGAAAGAGAGTACTTTCCATGACAAAAAAAAGTTCTTGTTTACTTGAGGTTATATATCGGTGGACAAAAGCCAAGGGGAGGCGGCAGTCACTTGAAGGGTAGCATCTGCGTATGCTGCCAAGCTGTCCGTCTTCTTCATGAAGAAACTAAAATAAACCTTGTTTTTTTAACTTTTTTTGGGACTGTCTCCTTCCTTTCGTGTTCCTGTGATATGGGCCTAAGAAGACCCAATTTAGGGTCTCTAACAGTGTGGGTTCATAGGTGGAAATACGGTCGCGCAGGTAGGAGGGTCCCAAACCGTTTAGGGCTTTGTAGGTCAAGACCTGCACCTTGAATTGGGCCCGGTAGATAAATGGCAGCCAGTGGAGCTCCTTAAACAGGAGGGTTGACCGCTCCCTGGAATTCACTCCAGTTAATAGTCTGGCTGCTGCCTGACTGTGAGAACTGTTTAGCAGTGGAACTCTCTGCCCTGGAATGTGGTAGAGGCTCCTTCTTTGGAAGCTTTTAAACAGATGCTGGATGGCCATCTGTCGGGGTTGCTTTGAATGCTTCTTGGCAGGGGGTTGGACTGGATGGCCCATAAGGTCTCTTCCAACTGTATGATTCTATGAATGGGCCCAGTCTTTCTTAAAGTTAGTTAACCGACACTGAGTTTACCCATTTCCGCAAGTTTACTAATTTCCATAAGCAAATGGTTTTGTGTTAAACAAATCGGATCTTTCCATCTTTGAGCATAAGTCATTCTTGCTGCTGTTGTCATGAATAACAATTAGACAGAAGGTAATTATATACAATATTTCAAATAGTTTTCTGCCTGCTTCCTGATGGATGTTCACTGACACATCAGAAAGCAAAGGAGACACGCACAGGGATTTTAGAATTCCAGATAAACCATGTTCAACCTGTATTGATACGGTATGTTGTCAAGTGAAAAGAAAAAGGAGGAAGCAGCATGTATTCAAAAAGTCCCACCTTAGCTCTGTAGTCCCGATCTATCAGGACATTGGAGGGCTTCAGGTTGCAGTGAAGGACATGGGGTTGCAAACTGTGCAGATAATTCAGGCCCTCGGACACGTCTGATAGGATCCTCACAGAAAGAGGAAAAGGCAGATCTGGGCAGAGTGCATGCTGAGAAAAAATAGAAACAAAATACAGTCTGGGATCACATGTAGTAGTAAACCAAGCCAACTCTGACATGCTTTTTCGTGACAATGTGGCTGGGTTACCAAACCAGAAATGTTATACACCAGGGATTCTCAAACTTTTTCAGCCATGGTGCCCATTTTGAAGTAGTTCGTGAAGCCCCAAGAAATGTTTATATATTATACTAGCTGTACCCGCCACGCGTTGCTGTGGCCAACCTTCCCTCCCTCTTTCTCTCTTTCTTTCCTTTTCTCCTTCCTTCCCTCCATCCCTCTTTCCTTCCTTGTCTTTTATTCTTTCCATTTCTCCTTCCTTCCTTCTCTACCTCTTTCCTTCCTTCTCCTCTTTTTCTTTCCCTTTTCTTTCTCTCCTTTCTTCCTTCTCTATCTTTTTCCTTCCTTCCTTCGCTCTTTTCTTCCACCCTTCTTTCTCTCTTTCCTTCTTTCCTTCTCTCCCTCTTTCTCTCTTTCTTTCCTTCTCTCCTTCCTTCCTTCTCTACCTCTTTCCTTCCTTCTCTTTTTCTTTCCCTTTTCTTTCTCTCCTTTCTTCCTTCTCTATCTTTTTCCTTCCTTCCTTCGCTCTTTTCTTCCACCCTTCTTTCTCTCTTTCCTTCTTTCCTTCTCTCCCTCTTTCTCTCTTTCTTTCCTTCTCTCCTTCCTTCCTTCCTTCTCTACCTCTTTCCTTCCTTCTCTTTTTCTTTCCCTTTTCTTTCTCTCCTTTCTTCCTTCTCTATCTTTTTCCTTCCTTCCTTCGCTCTTTTCTTCCACCCTTCTTTCTCTCTTTCCTTCTTTCCTTCTCTCCCTCTTTCTCTCTTTCTTTCCTTCTCTCCTTCCTTCCTTCTCTACCTCTTTCCTTCCTTCTCTTTTTCTTTCCCTTTTCTTTCTCTCCTTTCTTCCTTCTCTATCTTTTTCCTTCCTTCCTTCGCTCTTTTCTTCCACCCTTCTTTCTCTCTTTCCTTCTTTCCTTCTCTCCCTCTTTCTCTCTTTCTTTCCTTCTCTCCTTCCTTCCTTCTCTACCTCTTTCCTTCCTTCTCTTTTTCTTTCCCTTTTCTTTCTCTCCTTTCTTCCTTCTCTATCTTTTTCCTTCCTTCCTTCGCTCTTTTCTTCCACCCTTCTTTCTCTCTTTCCTTCTTTCCTTCTCTCCCTCTTTCTCTCTTTCTTTCCTTCTCTCCTTCCTTCCTTCTCTACCTCTTTCCTTCCTTCTCTTTTTCTTTCCCTTTTCTTTCTCTCCTTTCTTCCTTCTCTATCTTTTTCCTTCCTTCCTTCGCTCTTTTCTTCCACCCTTCTTTCTCTCTTTCCTTCTTTCCTTCTCTCCCTCTTTCTCTCTTTCTTTCCTTCTCTACCTCTTTCCTTCCTTCTCTTTTTCTTTCCCTTTCTCTCCTTTCTTCCCTCTCTCTTTCCTTCCATCCTCTTTGCTTCCTTCTCTTTCTCCCTTCCTTCTTCCTTCTCTCCCTCCTTTTTCTTTCTTTCTTTTCTTCTCTCCTTCCTTCCTTCCATTGCGCCGTCCGTATCCTCATGCAAAAGGGGGTAGGGCCAGGGAATTTTTTGGTGATTTTTTTTGAGTGATGGTCACTCCTTGAGTTAGTAGGTGTCTTGTGGCCAAATCTGGTGTCATTACATCCAGTTGTTTTTGAGGTATGGGGTCCCCACAAACGAACATTATATTTATATATATAGACTAGCCATCCTCTGCCACACGTTGCTGTGGCCCACATGGGGGTTCTGTGTGGGAGGTTTGGCCCAATTCTATCATTGGTGGGGTTCAGAATGCTCTGTGATTGTAGGTGAACTATAAATCTCAGCAACTACAACTCCCAAATGTCAAGATTCTATTTTCCCCAAACTCCACCAGTGTTCACATTTGGGCATATTGAGTATTCGTGTAGAGTTTGGTCCAGATCCATCATTGTTTGAGTCCACAGTGATCTCTGGATGTAGGTGAACTACAACTCCAAAATTCAAGGTCAATGCCCACCAAACTCTTCCAGTATTTTCTGTTGGTCATGGGGGTTCTGTGTGCCAAGTTTGGTTCACTTCTATAATTGGTGGAGTTCAGAATGCTCTTTGATTGTAGGTGAATTATAAATCCCAGCAACTACAACTCCCAAATGACAAAATCAATCCCCCCAATCCCACCAGTATTCGAGTGATGCTCACTCGTTGGCCTGATTGGTGCCTTGTGTCCAAATTTGGTGTCAATTCGTCCAGTGGTTTTTGAGTTCTGTTAATCCCACAAACGAACATTACCTTTTTATTTATATAGACTAGCTGTACCCGGCCACGCGTTGCTGTGGCGTAGTGTGTTGTTTTGGAAAATGTAGTAGTGAGAAAGTAGTGGTATTCATGGGCTCATGACTTTGGAGGTGTGTATGGATAGGGCTGGGTTTAGGGCTTAGAAATGGAGATGAGCACCAACACCCCCCCATTCCCCGAATTCGGAGACAACTGGACTTAATGGTTATGTGGATGCATTGTAGTGGATTTCTTGGGTTTGTAAGTCTTGCCTTTGGTGTTTTTCAGTGTTTTAATGAGTGATGGTTTCTCAATGACCTGATAGATGTAATGTCCTTTCCTTCCTTCCTTCCGTCCTTCCATTTCAGTCTTCCCTGTCTCCTTTCCCTCCTTCCTTTTTTGTTTCCTTCCTCCCTTTAGTTGTTCTGTCTTTCCTTCCTTCCTTCCTTCTCCTCCTCCTTCTCCTTCCTTCCCTCCTTCCTTCCCTCCTTCCTTCCTTCTCGTCCTCCCTCCCTCCCTCATTCCTTCCTTCGTTCTGTGTCTGCCTCCCCCTTCCCCTCCGTGATGTTGTGGCCGACTGTGGTGGTGCACCCACAACCGGTATGACAGCGGGGGAGACCCCTGTCTGGAAGGAACGGTAGTAGGGATGTCTCTCTCTCTTGGATCCCCCTGGCGAGGCAGTGTGGGGGTTGGAGGGTGGGCGGGCGGGGGGTGGGGCCTTGCAGTTGCCAAGGCGACGTTGTGGGCCTCCTTCACTGGGGCGTCCTGCTTGGCCGGCCCCTTTGTTGGCGGGGGCGTGTCTCTGCGGAGTGGCACGCCTCTCCCAGAACCCACCTGCAGGGCCGGTGACGTCAGGCGCAGCGACGACGGTAAGAGGGGGAGATTCCCGGGTCTTCCTGGAGAGGAGGAGGCGGCAGAGGCGGAGCCGGGCCCCTCCTGGCCCGCCCTCGGCCTTTCCCTCGTTCCCTCTTTCCTTCCTTCCTTCTTTCCTTCCCTCCCTCCCTCCCTCTGTCTTTCTCTCCTTCCTTCTGTTTCCTTTAACTTTATTTCCTTTTCTCCTTCCTTCCCCCTTTGGCTCCTTCATTCCTTCTCTTTCCCTTCTTCTCTCATTTCTTCTGGACTGTCCCTTTCAACGGTAATGCCGCGGGGGGGGAGGGGGGGGTGAGGGGCGGCAAGTGCGCGCGTGGCGGGGAGTTTGCGCCGCGCGCGCGTGTGTGCCGCGGGGGGGGGGGGGGGCGGGTGCGCGCGTGGCGGGGAGTTTGCCGACGCGCGCGCGTGTGCCGCGGGGGGGGGGGGGAGGGGCGGCGGGTGTGCGCGTGGCGGGGAGTTTCCGCCGCGCGCGCGTGTGTGCTGCCGGGGGGGGCGAGGGGCGGCGGGTGCGCGCGTGCCGGGGAGTTTCCGCCAGTGCGCATGTTCAGTTGTTTTGTGGGGTTTTTGTCGTTGCAGTTGTGTTTTTTGTATTGTGGAGTAGATTAGTTTGTAGCGAGTGGGTTGTCCTAGGGGCATGGCAATTTTGGTTCAGTTTCGTTGGGGGGTTGAGGAGTTATGCGACGCCGTACGACGCCCCCTACAGATTTATATATATAGATTATATTATATTATATTATATTATATGAAAATGCCATTAACTACAGATACAAGCTAAACGTCAGGAGAGAATGCCTCTGGAACATGGCCATACAATATGGAAAACTCACAGCAACCCAGTGAATATGGCCTTGAAAGCCTTCAACAACACAGAGCAGACTTCTCTGCCTCTTACATACTTCATGGATGAGCGAACTGAGAGATCCATTGTGCATCCATTCTGTGACGATGCCAAAAAAACCCTGGAAGTGGCAGATGCCAACGGAAGGGATGAGCCTGTTGCACTGCATGCGCCGAGTGCAGGCCACCTCTTGAAGCAGCGCCTTCAAATCTCTGCGAATGTATTAGGAATGAAAAAGAGAGCTATTTTACCAGGACTGTTTTAGATGGGTAAAAGATCGCTTACAACTGGTCACATTGTCCGAATGCCTGATTACTACCTCCCCAACAATTGCTATACTCCCAACTCAAGAACAGGAAACGTAATGTTGGTGGACAGGAAAAGAGATATAAAGATGGACTTGAAGCCAACCTTCCTTAAAAACTGTGGCACAGAGACTGAGAACTGGGAATCCCTGGAGCTTGAGCGCTCTACCTGGAGGTCAGCTGTGACCAGCAGTGCTGAGGAATTCAAAGAGGCTCGCATGGAGGGCGACAATATTTTAAGGTTTGTACGGTTTTATATTTTTATATTGTATGCTAATATTTTTATAGCATTTTATGATTGATATGCTTTTTAATTGTGATGATTGCTGAGGCATCGAATTGTTGCCATTTGTAAACCGCTCCGAGTCACCTTTGGGCTGAGAGGGGCGGTATATAAAGATGATAAATAAATAAATAAACCTTAAAAACTGTGGCATACATACAAGAACTGGGAAACCCTGGACTTTGAGCGTTCTAACTGGAGGTCAACTGTGACCAGCAGTGCTGCAGAATTCGAAGAGGCACGAATGGAGGACGAAAGAGAGAAACGTGCCAAGAGGAAGGTGCGTGAAGCCAACCCTGACCGGGACCACCTTTCACTTGGAAACTGATGTCCTCACTGTGGGAGAACATGCTGGTCAAGAATAGGGCTCCACAGCCACCTACGGACTCACCACCAAGACACATCACTTGGAGGACCATAATCCTCGAGCTACGAGGATTTACCTAAATAATTAAGTAAGTAAGTAAAAGTACAATAGCAAAATCAAAGTGCAGCGTGGCTTCTGCTAGTTAAGAGCGCAGTCACAGAAATAATTAAACTCTTAAGTCAAGGTATCACTGTATGATCAATGAACTCAAACCAGGGCATCGTGTCAACTGTGGCTCCATTTCCATCCCAGTCTGACATCCAGTAACCTGAGCATCATGTTTGCATTCACTCATTACACTCCTGTTTGATGAGTTTGGTAGAGTTCAGCACAATCTGTTGCTACCCACTCATCCTCTTCACAACAAGCAAAGAAGTTAAACTGAAAACCCACCTCTCTGTTGTGTTTCGATTACTTAAGAGCTTCAAAGAAACATCCATGTTCCCAGGAGTGTGGAAGGCTTTGAGAGCAAAGCCCACTCCCATCTTCACCAGAGAAATGCTCTCCAGGTCCTTCTGGGAAATGATGGGCACCAGACTGGATGACATCTTGTGACGTTTGGCAATCAGAACTGAAATAAGAAAGGAAATATGTTGCCTCAGCCCAGTGGTTCTCAACCTGTGGGTCCCCGGATGTTTTGGCCTTCAACTCCCAGAAATCTTAAACAGCTGGTAAACCCCCCGAAATTTTTTTCTGGCTATGGCCCTGCGTCCCAGTTATTAACCTGGCTGCCTCTCGTTGGGCTATTTGAAGCTTCCGAGCAGTCTTCAAAGGCAACCCCACATAGAGTGCGTTGCAGTAGTCTATCCGAGATGAGCATGGACCACCGTGGCCAAGTCTGACTTCCCAAAGTACGGGCACAGCTGGCGCACAAGTTTTAATTGTGCGAACACTCCCCTGGCCACTGCTGCAACCTGGGATTCCAGGCTCAGTGATGAGTCCAGGAGGACCCAGGGGCGGCTCGTCCATTACGCGAAGTAAGCGGTCGCAGAACACTTTTTTTGCCAGGGGCGCAGAGGCACCTCTGTAAATGCCCCTCGACCGCCACTTGAGGAGCACTCCCTCAGCTCACAACAGCCCTAGCAGTCCGGGGGGAGCCTCGGCTTTCTTGCCTTGCTGCCGGGCGATCCTCTTCCCAAAGGGGCCGGGCCCTTGAACCTCACCTAGCCCCTCTTGTTCCTGCTCCACCCGGCCACCGGGTGCGCGAGCAGAGCCAGCGCTCAATCGTTCTCTGCGTTCGATCCCTTCCCTATGACCGGCTCCCTTTCCTGACCCCCGGCTCCCTACCCGCCTCCTCTCCTCTCCCCAATCCGCGGGTGGGCCAAGGGGCAGAGCCGCCGCGCCTGGCCCATTTCGGGTCCGGAGGCGTGTCTGAAGACCCCAGCGTGCGCACCAAAAGTCGCCTCTTCTCCTGACTTTCTCTTCAGCCATTGGGACCAAGAGAGAGAGAGAGAGAGACTCCTCCGGCTGGAGGTATCTCCCACCTCCGCTCCCTCCTTTGTTTTTGCGCCTACCTTCAGGAAAGGTGGGCATCTCCACCTCTCTCTCTCTCTCTCTCTCTCTCTCTCTCTCTCTCTCTCTTGGTCCCAATGGCTGAGGAGAAAGTCAGGAAAAGAGGTGACTTTTGGTGCACACGCCGGGGTCTTCAGGCACGCCTCCGGACCCAAAGCGGGCCAGGCAAGGGAGCAAGTGCGGCAAGTGTAGTTACTGGGATGTATAGTTCACGTACAATCAAAGAGCATTCTGAACTCCACCAATGATGGAATTGAACCAAATATGGCACACAGAACTCCCACGACGAACAGAAAATATATATCAGTGATTGGTTGGGGGGGGGGGCGCCAAAATACTGTTTGCTTACCGTTGAAAATTACCTAGGGCCGCCTCTGGATATCCCAAGCTGCGAACCTGTGCCTTCAAGGGGAGTGTGACCCCATCCAGCACAGGTTGTGACCCTATACCCTGTTTGGCCTTGCGACTGACCAGGAGGACCTCTGTCTTGTCTGGATTCAACTTCAATTTGCTTGCCCTCATCCAGACCGTCACAGCGGCCAGGCACCGGTTCAGGACTTGGATTAGAAAGGTAACTCATCACCAGAGGACTAGGAGTAAGGAATCAGAGGTGTGTCATTATGAAACAGAATAATAAACTCCCACATAACATCATTGGAGATGAGTAGCCGATAGCACTGAAAAATGCCTGAAGGTGTTCCAAAAATAGACATGGACTTGAGCAACAATACATTAACAGACTAGGACAGGGGTTCTCAACCTTTCTAATGCCGCGACCCCCTAATACAGTTCCTCAAGTGGTGGTGACCCCCAACCATAACATTATTTTTGTTGCAACTTCATAACTATAATTTTGCAACTGTTACAAGTCGTAATGTAAATATCTGATATGCAGGATGTATTTTCATCCACTGGACCAAATTTGTCATTTGGGAGTTGTAGTAGCTGGGATTCATAGTTCACCTACAATCAAAGAGCATTCTGAACTCCACTAACAATGGAATTGAACCAAACCTGGCACACAGAACTCCCATGACTATCAGAAAATACTAGAAGAGTTTGGTGCCCTTGAGTTTTAGAGTTGTAGTTCAGCTACATCCAGAGAGCACTGTAGACTCAATCAATGATGGATCTGGACCAAACTTGGCATGAATCTTCAATATGCCCAAATGTAAACACTGGGGGAGTTTGGGGAAAATAGACCTTGACATCTGGGTGTTGTAGTTGCTGAGATTTATAGTTCACCTACATTCAAAGAACATTCTGAACCTCACCAACAATAGAACTGGGGCAAACTTCCCACACAGAACCCCCATGACCAACAGAAAATACTTAAGGCCACCCAGTCCAACTCCCTTCACCAGGGCAAGAAAATGTAAACAGAAGTCCTCCTGACAAAGAGCCATCCAGCCATAGATATAGATAGATAGATGATAGATAGATAGATAGATAGATAGATAGATAGATAGATAGATAGATAGATAGATATGATTCACACATACAGAGATAAAGGGGTGTTGTAGTTGCTGGGATTTATAGTTCACCTGCAATCAAAGAACATTCTGAATCCCACCGACAGAATTGGGGCAAAACCTCCAACACAGGACCCCCATCACCAACAGAAAATACTGTGTTTTCTGATGGTCTTTGGCGACCCATCTGACACTCCCTTGTGACCCCTCCAGGGGTCCCGACCCCCAGGTTGAGAAATGCTGCACTAAGAGAAAACTAAGAGGCACAAATGGAGGGCGAAAGGGAGAAACGTGCCAAGAGGAAGGCATGTCAAACCAACCCTGACCAGGACCGCCTTCCATCTGGAAACTGATGTCCACACTGCAGGAGAACATGCGGATCAAGAATAGGGCTCCACAGCTACCTACGAACCCACCACTAAGACACTACACTTGGAGGAGCAGCATCCTTGGGCTATGAGGGATCACCTAAGTAAGGAAGTAAGCAAGTAAGTACAAATCTATATAAATAAAAATGTAATGTTCGTTTGTGGGATTAACATAACTCAAAAACCACTAGACAAATTGCTGCCAAATCCGGCCACAAGACACCTACTAACCCAACGAGTGACCATCACTCAACAAAATTGAGTTTGTCATTTGGGAGTTGTAGTTGCTGGGATTTATTGTTAATCTACAATCAAAGAACATTCCAAACTCCACCAATGATGGAATTGAACCAAATGTGGCACACAGGACTCCATGACTAATAGAAAACACTAGAAGGGTTTGATGGGCATTGACCTTCAGTTTGGGAGTTGTAGTAACCTACATCCAGAGAGCACTGTGGACTCATACAATGATGGAACTGGACCAAACTTGGCACGGATATTCCATATGCCCAACTAAGAACACAGATGGAGCTTGGGGCATTGACCTTGAGTTTGGGAGTTGTAGTTCACCTATATCCAGAGAGCAATGTAGACTCAAAAAATGATGGAACTGGACCAAACTTGGCACGAATATTCCATAGGCCCAACTAGGAACACAGATGGAGCCTGGGGAAAATAGACCTTGACATTTGGGAGTTGTAGCTACTGGGATTTATAGTTCACCTACAATCAAAGAGAATTCTGAACCCCACCAATGACACAATTGGGGCAATGTCCCACACAGAACCCCTATGACCAATAGAAAATACTTAAGGCCACCCAGTCCAACTTCTTTTACCAGGGCAAGAAAATGTAATCAAATATTGTTTACCTACAAGCATAAAGAAATTACATATATTAGAAAACAACACTTTCTCATTATTTTATTTTCCAGATCACCACACTGGGCCACAGCAACGCGTGGCTGGGGACACCTAGTAGAGTAAATAAATAAATAAATGTGTACTATTTATTTATTTATTTATTTATTTTATTTTCAATATTTCTATTCCGCCCTTCTCACCCCACAGGGGACTCACAATGCACATATACATGGCAAACATTCCATGCCATAGACACACCACATATATAGACAGGCACACAGAGGCTATTTAACTTTCCAGCTTAGTGAGGGTAGGCTTTGTGAATTTTGGCCACCGGGGGAGCTGTTGATTCACCGTCCACTTGGGACACTGATGGAGTACTTCCTCATTCTTTTGCACGCTGCTGGAGAGTTTTATGGCATCGTAAATTAGTTAAATTAGCCCCCCCCCCACACACACATAAAAAGGGTAAAGGTTGTCCCCTGACATTAAGTCCAGTCATGTCCAACTCTGGGGTGTGGTGCTCATCTCCATTTCTAAACCAAAGAGCTGGTTGTTGCAACTCAGAGTAAGCTTCACCTTGCTGCCAAACACCACCACACAAGAGCTGTAGTTTTATAGTTTATTGAGGAAAAAATCCAAGTAAAAATAAAGAATAAGCATTGCAAAGTTCCAAAGAATAAGGTTACATGCAGAATATAGTTCCAAAGATCTTCAGGTAAAAGCAGGAGACACAATCCTATTGGCAAAGTTCAAACCCAAGTCCCAGGTACAAGCAATGAAACAATTGCCCCAAGAATCACAATGCAAGAAATCCCAAGTGTACTGCTTTCCAGGCTAAGGTTATTCCATGAAGCTTTCAGGCTAGCAAGCTATGTTGAATTGACACTTTCTCAGGGTTTGCAAGAAGCCTAAATACCTTTCTAACATGAAAACATTAGTCTCTCGTCATCATAAAAGCATTGTGATGACCTTTCACTGAGCTGGCTTCTTGTCTGCCGGCCAGACGAGAACTCCGCCTGACCCTCAGATCAAGACGAGCTTGCAGGGTCAAGTCACTATCTACACTTTCGGTATCAGCATGGGAAGGCACCTGCTTGCTATCTCCTTCGTTAAAATTCCTTTCTGGTGGAAACGGCTGTGTTGACACTGCACTGTCTGTGGGAGCCTCAGAAGCAGGCCCAGAGATTTGAGGCACAGACAAAGAGCCAGGAAGCTGAATCCCAGCAGGATTCTGAATCCCATCATCCTCATCATCAGAAAACAGCTCAGCCACAACACCGGTGTTGTCCGTAGACATCTCCAAGGTCATGTGGCTGGCATGACTGCATAGAACGCCGTTACCTTCCCGCC